GGGAGGGGTCTGTAATTAGGGTTGGGGTCTCAATTAGGGGAGGGGTCTGTCTGTCTCTCAGTGAAGCTGTTTGAGGTGATTTGGGTCGGGGTCAGGGTCTCCATTAGGGTGGGGGTCAGTAATTAATTAGGGTGGGGGTCTCTGATTTGGGTCAGGGTCAGTAATTAATTAGGGTGGGGGTCAGTAATTAATTAGGGTGGGGGTCTCTGATTTGGGTCAGGGGCAGTGGTCCCGAAATGGGGATGGGGCCCGAAATGGGGAGGGGGCCCCAAAATGGGGAGGGGGCCCTGAATTGGGGAGGGGGCCCCAAAATGGGGAGGGGTCCCCAAAAATGAGGGGTCCCCAAAATGGGGAGCGGTCCCTAAATTGGGGAGGGGGCCCTGAAATGGGAAGAGGTCCCCAAAGTGGGGTCCTGGAAATGAGGAGGGGGCCCCAAAGTGGGGTCCTGGGGGTGGGGAGGGGTCCCAAAATGGGGAGGGGTCAGGGTCTGTAATTTGGGGAGGGGTCTGTAATTAGGGTTGGGGTCAGTGATTAATTAGGGTCGGGGTCTCCATTAGGGTCTGTAATTAATTAGGGTGGGGGTCAGTGATTAATTTGGGGAGGGGTCTCTCTCTCTCTCTCTCAGTGAAGCTGTTCGAGGTGACTTGGGTCGGGGTCAGGGTCAGTAATTAGGGTGGGGGTCAGTGATTAATTTGGGGAGGGGTCTCTCCGTTCCCAGTGAAGCTGTTCGAGGCCATTAGGGTCAGGGTCAGTGATTAATTAGGGTGGCCCCAGGCTGAGAACCTGCTGCTGGACACCAACACCAACATGGAGATCCCATCCCAGTGTCCCCATCCCAGTGTCCCCATTCCAGTGTCCCTGTCTCTATGTCTTTGTCCCTCTGTCCCTGTTCCTGTGACAATGTCCCCATGTCCCAGTGTCCCCACTGATGTCCCCATGTCCCCAATGTCCCCGTTGATGTCCCCAGGCCGAGAACCTGCTGTTGGACGCTGACGCCAACATGGAGATCCCATCCCAGTGTCCCTCTGTCCCTGTTCCTGTGACAATGTCCCCATGTCCCTGCTGATGTCCCCATGTCCCCCCTGATGTCCCCATGTCCCCGTTGATGTCCCCAGGCCGAGAACCTGCTGCTGGACGCCGACGCCAACATCAAGATCGCGGATTTCGGCTTCAGCAACGAGTTCTCGCGGGGCTCCAAGCTGGACACGTTCTGCGGCTCGCCGCCCTACGCCGCGCCCGAGCTCTTCCAGGGCAAGAAGTACGACGGGCCCGAGGTGGACATCTGGAGCCTGGGGGTCATCCTCTACACGCTGGTCAGCGGCTCGCTGCCCTTCGACGGCCACAACCTCAAGGTGAGCGCCGGGAGGTCGCCGTCACTCCTGGGGAGCGGCCGGTCATTGTCCGGTCAGCTGTGGTCACCTGTGGTCATCTCCTGGGGAGCGGCTGGTCACTGCATGGTCACCTCCTGGGGACAGGCTGGTCACTGCGTGGTCACTGTGTGGTCACCTGTGGTCATCTCGTGGGGACCGGCTGGTCACTGCATGGTCACCTCCTGGGGAGCGGCTGGTCATTGTCCAGTCAGCTGTGGTCATCTCCTGGGGACCGGCTGGTCACTGCATGGTCACCTCCTGGGGAGCGGCTGGTCATGTTCCTGTGACAATGTCCCCATGTCCCCAATGTCCCCATGTCCCTGTTGATGTCCCCAGGCCGAGAACCTGCTGCTGGACGCCGACGCCAACATCAAGATCGCGGATTTCGGCTTCAGCAACGAGTTCTCGCGGGGCTCCAAGCTGGACACGTTCTGCGGCTCGCCGCCCTACGCCGCGCCCGAGCTCTTCCAGGGCAAGAAGTACGACGGGCCCGAGGTGGACATCTGGAGCCTGGGGGTCATCCTCTACACGCTGGTCAGCGGCTCGCTGCCCTTCGACGGCCACAACCTCAAGGTGAGCGCCGGGAGGTCGCCGTCACTCCTGGGGAGCGGCCGGTCATTGTCCGGTCAGCTGTGGTCACCTGTGGTCATCTCCTGGGGACCGGCTGGTCACTGCCCGGTCACCTGTGGTCATCTTGTGGGAACTGGCCGGTCATTGTCCAGTCAGCCGTGGTCATCTCATGGGGACTGGCCAGTCACCTGTGGTCACCTGTGGTCACCTGTGGTCACCTCCTGGGGACCAGCTGGTCATTGTCCAGTCAGCTGTGGTCACCTTATGGAGACCGGCCGGTCACCTGTGGTCACTGTCCAGTCAGCTGTGGTCACATTCTGGTCACTCTCTGGTCACCTGTGGTCACCTGGGCACTGTCCAGTCAGCTGTGGTCACCTGTGGTCACCTGTGGTCATCTCGTGGGGATCGGCTGGTCATTGTCCAGTCACCTGTGGTCATCTCATGGGGACTGGCCAGTCACTGTGTGGTCACCTGTGGTCACCTGGGCACTGTCCAGTCAGCTGTGGTCACCTGTGGTCACCTGTGGTCACCTCCTGGGGACCGGCTGGTCATTGTCCGGTCACCTGTGGTCATCTCATGGGGACCAGCCGGTCACTGCGTGGTCACCTGTGGTCATCTCCTGGGGACTGCCTGGTCACTGCATGGTCACTGTCCAGTCACCTGTGGTCACCTGGGCACTGTCCAGTCACCTGTGGTCATCTTGTGGGGACCGGCCGGTCACTGCGTGGTCACTGTGTGGTCACTGCGTGGTCACTGCGTGGTCACTTGGTCCTGACCCTTCTGGGCCACCCTACTGTGACCCCTGAGCTGCCCGCAGGGGTCACCTGGTCAGTGGTCACCGAGTGACCCCAGTGACCTTGAGTGACCCCAACTGACCTTGGGTGACCCCAGGTGACCCTGAGTGACCCCAGTGGCCTTGACTGCTCCCAGTGACCCTGAGTGACCCCCGGTGTCCCCCATGTCCCTGGTTCACCCTGGGTGACCCAGACTGACCCCAGTGACCCCGACAATGTCCCCAGTGTCCCCATGTCCCTCCCATGTCCCCAATATCCCCAATGTCCCCACTGCCCCGATGTCCCCCCAGTGTCCCCAATGTCCCCTTGTGCCCCCCCAGCAAATCATGAAGGACAAGTGGATCAACATCGGCTACGAGGGCGACGAGCTGACGCCCTACACCGAGCCCCAGGAGGACTTTGGGGACACCAAGCGCATCGGTGAGGGGACGGGGGACGCGGCGGGGACACCGCGCCGGGGACGGCGGTGGCACCGCGCCGGGGGCGGCGGTGACACCGCGCCGTGTCCCCAGAGGTGATGGTGGGCATGGGCTACACGCGGGAGGAGATCAAGGAGGCGCTGAGCACCCACAAGTACAACGAGGTGACGGCCACCTACCTGCTGCTGGGACGGCGCGGAGAGGTGGGGACACCGGGGACATCCTGGGGACACTGGGGACATCCTGGGGACATCGGGACATCGGGGACATTGAGGGACACTGGGGACATTGGGGACATTGGGGACACTGGGGACATCCAGGGGACTGGGGACATTGGGGACACGGCCACCTACCTGCTGCTGGGACGGCGCGGAGAGGTGGGGACACCGGGGACATCCTGGGGACACTGGGGACATTGGGGACATTGGGGACATGCAGGGGATTGGGGACATTGGGGACATTGAGGGGATTGGGGATCCCCGATTTGGGGAGGGGTCCCCGGTGTGGGGAGGGGTCCCAGGGACCCTTCAAACCCCCCAAATCCCCCCTAAACACCCCCCAGAGACCCCAGACCTGATTTCAAGGGACTGTCCCCAATTTTCGCGGTTTGTCCCCAATTTTTTCAGATTGTCCCCAACTTTCCCGGATTGTCCCCAATTTTTGGGGGTGTCCCCGATGTGGGGAGGGGTCCCCGGTGTGGGGAGGGGTCCCAGGGACCCTTCAAACCCCCCAAATCCCCCCTAAACACCCCCCAGAGACCCCAGACCCGATTCCCAGGGACTGTCCCCAATTTTCGCGGTTTGTCCCCAATTTTTTCGGATTGTCCCCAACTTTTTCGGGTCGTCCCCAACTTTTGGGCATGTCCCCAATTTGAGGAGGGGTCTCCAATTTGGGGAGGGGTCCCAGGAATCCTTCAAACCCCCCAAATCCCCCCTAAACACCCCCCAGAGACCCCAGACCTGATTTCAAGGGACTGTCCCCAATTTTCGCGGTTTGTCCCCAATTTTTTCAGATTGTCCCCAACTTTCCCGGATTGTCCCCAATTTTTGGGGGTGTCCCCGATGTGGGGAGGGGTCCCCGGTGTGGGGAGGGGTCCCAGGAATCCTTCAAACCCCCCAAATCCCCCCTAAACACCCCCCAGAGACCCCAGACCTGATTTCAAGGGACTGTCCCCAATTTTCGCGGTTTGTCCCCAATTTTTTCAGATTGTCCCCAACTTTCCCGGATTGTCCCCAATTTTTGGGGGTGTCCCCGATGTGGGGAGGGGTCCCCGGTGTGGGGAGGGGTCCCAGGGACCCTTCAAACCCCCCAAATCCCCCCTCGAACACCCCCCAGAGACCCCAGACCCGATTTCCAGGGACTGTCCCAAATTTTCTTAGTTTGTCCCCAATTTTCCTGGTTTGTCCCCAATTTTTTGGGGGTGTCCCCAATTCTTGGGGGTGTCCCCGATGTGGGGAGGGGTCCCCGGTGTGGGAAGGGGTCCCAAGGACCCTTCAAACTCCCCAAATCCCCCCTCGAACACCCCCCAGAGACCCCAACCCCCCCAAACCCGATTTCCAGGGACTGTCCCCAATTTTCGCGGTTTGTCCCCAATTTTCCTGGTTTGTCCCCAATTTTTCGGGGGTGTCCCCAATTTTTGGGGGTGTCCCCAATTTGGGGAGGGGTCCCAGTGTGGGGAGGGGTCCCTGACCCGTGCATGGGCCCGGGCTGGCCGCTGGCGTCCATCAGGCCGCGGAAGGGCCCCCCCAGGCGCGGGTCCTGCGCGCTCGCCTCGGCCGTGCTGAAGTGGTACTCGGTGACCTTGTCCAGCAGCTCGTGCGGGATGCCACCGCCCCGGTCCGAGATCCTGGGGACATCGGGGACACATTGGGGACATCGGGGACATCCAGGGGACTGGGGACATCGGGGACACGGCCACCTACCTGCTGCTGGGACGGCGCGGAGAGGTGGGGACACCGGGGACATCCTGGGGACACTGGGGACATTGGGGACACTGGGGACACTGGGGACATCCAGGGGATTGAGGGGAATCAGGGACATTGAGGGGATTGGGGACATTGAGGGGCTTGGGGACATCAGGGACACTGGGGACATCCAGGTGGATCAGGGGAATCAGGGACACTGGGGACATTGAGGGGATTGGGGACACTGGGGACATTTGGGGCTTGGGGACTTTGGGGGGACAATGGGGATGTTGGTGACCCTGTGCCCCCGGTGGCAGCCCGAGGGTGGCACCGCCCTGTCCCTGTCCCTGTCCCTGGGGGAGTGACAATGACCCTGGGGGGTGACAGTGACCCCGGTGACACTGTGACCCCAGTGACCCTGTGCCCCCGGTGGCAACCCGAGGGTGGCACCGCCCTGTCCCTGTCCCTGTGGGGGTGACAGTGACCCTGGGGGGTGACAGTGACCCCGGTGACACTGTGACCCCAGTGCCCCTGTGCCCCCGGTGGCAACCCGAGGGTGGCACCGCCCTGTCCCTGTCCCTGTCCCGGCCGCGGGGCGTGGCCGAGGCGCCCAACGGTGCCACCAAGTCGGGGACGTCGTCGGGGACGTCGGGGAGCCACGGCAAGGGACAGCGCGGGGGCGGCCACCACCGGCAGCGGCGGCACAGCGACTTCTGTGAGTGACACTGGGGACAGTTGGGGGGCTGGGGGGGCACCTGGGCACACCTGGGGGGGTCCCTGGGGGTCCCTGTGGTGCCCCCAGGTGCCCCCAGGTGACCCCTCCCCCCCTGTGCCCCCAGCCCCACGTGCCCCCCAGCGTGATGGGCCGCAGGAACACCTACGTGTGCTCGGGGGGGGAGCGGCACCTGCTGCTGCCCAACGGCAAGGACAGGTGAGGCTGCGCACCTGGCACACCTGGAATAACCCAAAATCACCTGAAATCCACCCAAAATTATAAAATATCCACCCAAAATTACCCAAAATCCAGCCCAAAATCACCCCAGCCCCACCTGCTGCTGCCCAACGGCAAGGACAGGTGAGGCTGCGCACCTGGCACACCTGGAATAACCCAAAATCACCTGAAATCCACCCAAAATTATAAAATATCCACCCAAAATTACCCAAAATCCAGCCCAAAATCACCCCAGCCCCACCTGCTGCTGCCCAACGGCAAGGACAGGTGAGGCTGCGCCCCTGGCACACCTGGCACACCTGGAAAAACCCAAAATCACCTGAAACCCGCCCAAAATCTACCCAAAATCACAAAATATCCACCCAAAGTTACCCAAAATCACAAAATATCCACCCAAAATCCAGCCCAAAATCACTGCAAACTCAGCCCCACGTGCCCCCCAGCGTGATGGGCCGCAGGAACACCTACGTGTGCTCGGGGGGGGAGCGGCACCTGCTGCTGCCCAACGGCAAGGACAGGTGAGGCTGCGCACCTGGCACACCTGGAATTATCAAAATCACCTGAAACCCACCCAAAATTATAAAATATCCACCCAAAATTACCCAAAAACACAAAAAATCCACCCAAAATTACCTTAAAATTACCCAAAAACCACCTCAGCCCCACCTGCTGCTGCCCAAGGGCAAGGACAGGTGAGGCTGCGCACCTGGCACACCTGGCACACCTGGAATAACCCAAAACCCACCCAAAATTACCCAAAATCACAAAATATCCACCCAAAGTTACCCAAAATCACAAAATATCCACCCAAAATCCAGCCCAAAATCACTGCAAACTCACCTGCTGCTGCCCAACGGCAAGGACAGGTGAGGCTGCGCACCTGGCACACCTGGCACACCTGGAATAACCCAAAACCCACCCAAAATTACCCAAATCCACCCAAAATCACAAAATATCCATCCAAAGTTACCCAAAATCCACCCAAAATCACCCCAGCCCCACCTGGTGCTACCCAACGGCAAGGACAGGTGAGGCTGCGCACCTGGCACACCTGGCACACCTGGAATCCACCAAAATCAACCCAAAATCTACACAGAATTACCCAAAATTACCTTAAAATCACCCAAAATCCAGCCCAAAACCACCCCAGCCCCACCTGCTGCTGCCCAAGGGCAAGGACAGGTGAGGCTGCGCACCTGGCACACCTGGCACACCTGGCACACCTGGAATCACCCAAAATCACCTGAAATGGCCCCAAAACGACCTGAAGCACCTGTGCCCATCCCAGTGGGGGGTGGGGGGGGATCACCTGTGGGGTCACCTGGGGGTGTGACCTCACCTGTGTGAGTGTGACCTCACCTGAGTGTGACGTCACCTGTGAGTGATCTCACCTGTGACCTCACCTGTGCCGTCACGTGACCCCTCCTCTCTCTCCCCTCCCCCAGCCTGCCGTCCCGCCCGCCGCCCTCCCCCTCCAGCCACTCCCTGGGCGGGGCTCACCTGGCGCACCTGGCCCGGGGCTGCCCCGCCCGCAGCACCTTCCACG